CGTTAGCGGCCTCATCGGCCCGGGCTGCATCACACACCGAAGCCCTCCTCGCGCTGCACAAGTCTCTCGTCGAGGTCGACTCAACCTCCAATGCTGAAGCGCCCGGAACGGAGGTTCTGAAGACGTACCTCGAGAACAACTTCACCGTCGAATTGCAGACTGTCACTGCTGGCCGCCAGAACGTCTACGCCTACTCTGGTAGCTCCCGCGAGACTCGCGTTCTGCTTACCTCACATTACGACACTGTGCCACCGTACATCCCATACTCTCGCAATGGCGACGAGATCCGGGGCCGCGGAACGTCCGATGCGAAGGGCAGCATCGCTGCTCAGGTCACCGCCGTGGAAGACCTTCTCGCGAGCGGTGAGATCAGCGAAGGAGATGTCTCCCTCCTGTTCGTAGTCGGAGAGGAGGTCGGCGGCGACGGGATGAAGGCGGCCAACAACCTCGACCTAACCTGGGAGGCTGTTGTCTTTGGAGAACCGACAGAGAATCAGCTTGTACGGGCGCACAAGGGTGTCCTCGGGCTCAACGTCACGGCTTCTGGAATTGCTGGACATTCTGGGTATCCTGAGCAAGGTCGTAACGCGATTGATCTTCTCGTGCGCTCTTTGGGGGGAATCATCGGCGCCGAGTTGCCGTCGTCCGAGGAATTTGGCAACACGACTTTGAATGTCGGTGTGATTGAGGGCGGGATCGCGAGCAACGTCATCCCGGAGAATGCTACCGCGAGAGCGTCTATTCGGGTTGCCGTCGATGACATTGATAGCATCAAGGACGTGATCAGCAAGGCAGCGTATGCCGCTACGCCGGAATATGTCAGCCTCTATTTCAACACAGGCGGGAAGCCTGTCAGCTTGGACTATGATATTGAAGGTAAGTTGCAACTATGTCAAGACATGACTGGATAATTCGCTTACATTTTCAGGCTTCAACACAACCATTGCGAACTATTACACGGACGTTCCGTATCTTGAAGGCGATCATAAGAAATATCTGTATGGTCCCGGCACCATTCTTGTGGCGCATTCGAATGATGAGCGAATCAACGTCTCGGATTTGGAAGGTGCTGTCGAAGGATACAAGAAGCTCATTCTTGAGTCTTTGAAGTAGAGAAGTCTAGGATGCGTTGGATTCAAGGTCTTGGCATCCATCGTAATAATTGATAACACAATTGCATAATTGCATTCTCTTGTACAACTCGATTATTGTGCATCCATCAGCTTTTATGAAGACGGAAGCGTTGACGGTTGTCCTCCATGTGGAACGTTAGACCGTTGCCCTGACCGTTGCCCCTGCTTGGCATCCGTTTCACCACGGCTGACGTCACCCCACGTGATCCGACACGTACCACCCCACCACCCCGCACCTCAGCTCGGTCGGTGCAGCTCAGTCAGCTCAGTCAGCTCAGCTCACACACTCAGCACGCAGGAGCTTACCCCGGCTGCCTCACAGCTCTGCCTCACCAGCGCGAAGTACAAGTTGGGCATAGCACGCCAGCCCCTTTCGCTGCGACATCACCCGCCAGACCACCACCGACCGTCCTTACCACATTCCCTTCTCTTCCGACCGCAGCCATGTCTCCCATCCCTGACGTCGTCTTCGAGAAGATCGACAAGTACGTTGACTCGCTCGCACCCCAGATCCAACCCCGCATCACCTCCGAGCTCGAGGTTTTCCAGAACAAGACCATCGACAGCCTCGAGGACCAGGTCATTGACGCCTTCCGTTCGCTCTTCAACAAGGACAAGGATCCCAGCGGCACCCGGAGCTTGAATGACTCGCCTCCCGACTCCTACGGTGGTCAGTCCCTGCCCTTCGCCGACGAGATCGCGAAGCTCACCCAGAGCTTCAGCAAGATCACCGATGGCGCCGGAGATGACCTGAGGGAGATTTTCGACTTGACCGAAGGCCGTGGGGGAGGAGGTGGTGAGACCCAGTCTCGTGGCATCGATCACACCGATTCGTTCTCTCGCGGTGCAAAGGGCTTCCTCTCAGCTGCCATCAACGCGGTGCAGGACCACATCGGAGACGACAGGCAGGGCGGAGGCAACAAGTTCGAGCTCGACGGACTTCTTGGAGTGCTAAGCAACACGGTCAAGGATGCCGCGCGCAATCCCGAGGAGAAGGCCCGCCTCATTAGCCCCGAGATCAAGGAGAAGGTCGGCGCGAAGCTGAGGGACCAGCATGCGCCCATCGCCGAGCAGTTCACCCGCATTGCACTGGACCACATCAAGCGCTGGCTTCGCGGTAACACGAGCACGCGAGACCTCGGCGACGGTATGAAGGGTGAAGTTGAGGACCAAGTGAAGGATCTGGTCAAGGGCATCGGTGGTTTGTTCGGAAAGAAGCACTCTTCCGGCGAGGGTGCTTCCCGAGGCCTCGGTGATCGCGACGGTGAGGAAGGCGGAAGCGGAAGTGGCTTCTCCAGGGTCATCAGCGACAAGCTGAGCACAGGTCTTGCCAAGGTTCACAGAGAGGTCCGTCTGGAGTTCCGCAACATCCTCGGAGGCATCGAGAAGCAGCTCTTTGAGCTCCTGCCAGACCAGTTCCAACGGCCATTGGAGAAGATTCTTGGTGGCAACCCCTTCGACTCGCAGCTTGACCGCGAGGCTGGAGGCTCGACAGACCGTGGCTTTGGAGACGACATCAAGGTGAAGCTGGTCAGCAAGATCCGCGGCCTGATCCGCAAAGTTCAGGAGACGCTACGTGAGAGCATCTTGGGCGTCGTCAACGGAGGTCACCGCAAGTTCGAGCGCGAGAGCTGGGTGTTCGTGCAGAACATGGTCGAGACCAAGGTGCAGAAGTATCTTCCTAATGTGAAGATCAACGTGCCGGATGACATCGGAAACGAGGGTGTTAGCGTCGGATCACCGAACGTGCAGCTTGGTGGCGGCAACCAGCCCGTTCCTCCCGCGCAGGGCAACTACCCTCCTCCGCCCTCGCACCACGAGTCGGATGGCCAGCAACAAGGGTACAACCCCGGTAACTACCAGCAGCAGCAACACCAAGAATACCGGCCCGACCAGTATCAACAGCAGCAGCATCAGGAGTACCGCCCTGACCAGTATCAGCAGCACCAGGGATACCAGTCCGCGCAGCACCACTCCGGTCAGCAGAACTACGGAGATCAGAATCAGGGACATGGAGGAAACCAGAGCTACGGAGGAAACCAGGGCTACTATGGCGGCAACCAAGGATACGACCAGAACCAAGGTCATGGCCAGAACCCAGATTACGGACAGAACCCTCGGTACTAGAATGACTAGGGCTATGAAAATGGTGACGGCGACGAGGATTGATACCTGCAGGCGGAATCAAGCATGTTTCATTAGCAAGCTTAACCTCTATGACTAACGATGAACGAGCAATTATGAGCTCCATTGGTGTGGACTTTTGACTTATTTCGTGACGCCTGCTTTCTCCATCGCTTCCTCCGTCTTCTTCTCCAGCTGGATCCCAACGAGTACATCAAGTAGCCTCACAAACTTCCCCCTATCATCTTCAACGCTTTTCGCCAACTCCTGCGCCTCATCTCCCTCCGCAATCAAGCCAAACTTGACCGCAACCTCCAACGCCCTCTGATCAGCATACGGAAACACCTCTTCCCAATCGCCCTGCACCCGCCTCAAGAAGATTCCCGCTCCCGTCGGCCCAACCCCCTTAATCCCATCCGTCAAGATCTTCTCGACCTTTTTCTGCACCTCCTCCACACATTTCAATCCCTTGACCTGCGCTCGTAGTCCCTCCATCTGTTCCACACTCCCATCCTCCTCTCCCTCACCACAAATCCCCCTCACACCATCCACAAGATCCCCCAGCTGCGCCGCCGACTTCTCCTTATGCTGCGTCCTCGCCTCCCACATCACCTTCCTTCGCCCCTCGAATCCCGCCTCATCCACATCCTTGAGCGTGCGTAGCCCAAACGGCTCGTTCAGCAGCGTATTGATCGTGCGCAGGCCCAGGCGGTGCGAGATCGGCTTGCTGAGCAACAGCGCCGCGACGAGGTTCTGGAAGGGCGTGAGGCTAGAGTCCGGGTACGTGAGAAGCGGCAGCTGTTCATCATCATCCTTTGGCTTCTTTTTGCCGGCGTCTTCGGGCGGAGGCGTCTTTTGCGGGCGGGCGGTGGAGTCCCAGTCGACCTCGCCGTGGCCGGGGGGCAGGGAGGGGAAGGCGAGGGAGAAGGCCTCGTCGCTTAGTAGCCATTCTATGGTGTCCTTGGAGTTGAAGGATTTCTTTGGCTTTTTGGTGTCTCGCTCAGAGGCTGAGGTGTCTTTTTTGACGTCGGTTTCGGAGGCTTTGCGCTTGGTGCCGGGTTCAGGGGACGCGGCTTTGGCGTCTGAGTCTTGGGACTCGTTCTTCGTGGTCTTTTTCGGGGTCATGTTGATTTCAACACGAGATATCTCGTTTTTTTTAAAGTGAGAGTGGTTGTAAGAAGCAAAATGAGTGACAAGGACGGGGGGCACATACATATCATTGTCGATTGAAAGGGTCCAAGTGAAAGCCGCATGATGTCATGGATGGAGGCGGTCTGTGTGCATGGCAGAACTGATCGCGTAGCGCCATGGCAGTCAATGGTGCGCTAGAAGAAAAAGAAAGATTTAGCGTGGGTAAGTAGTTTCTTTTCGAGACTGTTCTCCGTGAGGTCTTAGTTTGGAACACCCGTTTCCGCAACTCTTTGGAAAGAGCTATGGGTCAGGGCACCTTCCAATTCCATCACGAAGATATCGTCCTTCAGTTGCAAAGATCATCACGATGTGAAATGAAGAGAGTGACCAAGCAAGGCGGCGGAAAACCAGGACGATGAAAAGACAATGAGTCAAAAGTAAGTATGCGAGAAAATTCTGTTTTTCTTTTCTCAGCTAGCCATGATTTCCTAATGTTCGTTTCCGCCGGATCAAAACTTCATCTCGTGATAATCATCCCAAGCTGAGCTAGAAAGAGCCATCCCAAACGTGCCTGCCTTCCCAACGTGTGAACCCAAATTTCCTTCGCAATACTCAGATCTCAGCCTCGGCAGCATTGTTGCCCTCCTCCTGCTTGACAGGCTCCTCCAGCTGGACAGCCTCATCGTGAACGTCCTCCTCAACCTTGGCCTTGCTGACGCGGGGCTTCTTCTTGGACGGAGTCTCCTGCTCCTGGGCGTCGCCTTCCTCTTCGTCGGAGGGTGCCTTCTTCTTCGGGGTGCGCTTGGCGCGGGGCTTCTTGGTGGGGGTGCCGTCCTCGTTGGTGGTGGCAGCACCAGCGGCTCCGGCGAACCAGCTGTGCTTGGTGATGGCGGCGGCGAGGCGGACGCGAGCAGAGTTGCCGCTGGCGGAGCCCAGCTTCTCGGCGAGGGCGTCGTGGTCCACGGCCGGACGGGGGATGAGCTCCAAGAGGGCGGCCATGAGCTTGATTTCGGACTCGGAGAAGTTGTGGGTAGGGGCAGCGCCGGCCTCGGGGGTCTTCTTGGGAGGCATCGTGGCTGGCAGGTGTTAGTATGTAAGAATGGCGCGCGGGTCAGGGTGTTTGGCAAGATGACCAAGCATGAAAAAAAGACGGAAGAGAAGAGATGATCTTTTCTTACTTACTTGCGATTGGAAGTGATATGTTGTTGTGTAAGTGTTGTACAGGTGAAGGGAGATGCAAAGTGGTGTGAGTAGATGGTGAGTTGTTGAGGAGAAGAAGGAATTGAGATGGGGGCGTCAGTTAGCCGGATATTTGTAGTCGATTGAGAAGGAGGGAAAAGAAAGTTAAATCTGGGAAGGAGGTTCTTGAAAGTAAGAGATTCGTGCCTTCTTTATTCGATTCGGACCCTTGGGGACGACAGTGGAAGCCTGATTTAAACTTTTGTGCACAAGATGCTGCCGGAGAGAAACGCCAGGGTACCTCTTGCTACTTGTTCCTTCCAATCAATTCGCTTTAAGAGGGATTCTGGTGTTTCTGATTCCTTGCTGACTATCTTGATGGAATTGTGTGCAAAAGAGACAGTTGACAGTTGACAGCTCTCACACCCTGCTTCCTGCGTTGTTGCCTATTCACATTAGACGTGACTGACGCATTAGTGGGCCTTCGTGGGAACGCATGAGAGTTGATTTTTCACATCAAAGCCGTTGAAAGATGGGAACTTTCAAGACATCTGATACTTCATTCAATATCATTTTCTCATCAAGTTCGTTCAACTAGAAACGAATGTGAGCAATCATTAGGACTCGCCTAACTGAACATTGAAAGGGAGCGTCTAGAGACATGGGGAATGGTCTATGGAAGACTCACACCATACTTGGAGAAACTCAGGCGAAACAGAACGGCTGACAAAGGGCGTCGAGTAATACAAGGTAAGGTATTGAGAGATTGTTACAGGCAGACCTGCGTGGGACTCTAGGCAACCATCCGTCTTAATCCTCAACGCCAATTTTGACTCTGGGGCTCAAGACAAAGCTGTCGGTGCGACTTACGGATAATGAGTGCTGTGAAAGTCACTTTATGGCATCCTAGATTGTTTTTTTCACCAGGTAGTAAGCAATGTGACCATGCATGTGGAATCGCAAGGCAAGATTGATGCTCATTGCGTAATTAAGAACAAGTGTGAAACACACAATAAGTTGCAAGGAATCCGTTATTATCATGCCACGGCTGAGCAAGGCTTCATCAGTTACTTTTATTATCAGAGCAGTTTTTGGAGAAGAAGAGATCCGATTTATGTTCAATATGATGGGAACCTTTTCTGTGTTCTTGGCCTTTGCGACGCCATGAACGTTTTGTTCTAGAAAAAAACCAGCTCGAAAACGTTGATTTAGTACCACAAACGTTTGTTCAGACTTCGACAGCGCAACTTCAAAGCACGTCAACAACCTCAACCCATTGAACCGACACAGGACCTTTGAGTCCATACTCTTTCGTCGGATTAGCCTTGAAAAAGCTAGCACCCGCCACGGAAGCAGCGACACCAAACGTCATAATGCTATCCTGGTCCGCTCGTACACGATTGTACAGCGTCGAAGCAACTTCTACCTTGACCACGTTGTCGGCACCTGCAGGGTTGAGGTAGTTCGTGATATCGACCACCACATCAGGCGAGCTGTTGACGTCGAAGACGACTTTGTCGCCATTCACCCATAGTATCGCGGCGTCGGTAATGGCGCCCAGGTGAAGACGAGCGCCCAAGCGCTGGTCCGCGACGGATGAGAAAGGGGTTGGGAAGGTGGTCTCATAGTCTGCCGTACCGCTCGTGTCACCTAAGTTTACGGGGTCCATGTCCTTCCACGGAGCGAGCCGGATGTCGGGGAATCGGTGCGGTGTGATCGCGGTTTCCGTGGAGAAGAAGTCGTGCTCGCTGCGCCAGTCGTTGACTGTGATGTTCCATGCGTCGAGTTCTGTTGCTTCTGGCAGCTGAGAGGCGGTGAACTTTAGGGTGTGGCCGGTGGCGAAGGTTATTGTTGAGGTGCCGGGTGCGAGGTGCGCTGTGATGCGGGTGTTGTTCGTCGCGGTGGTTGTATTGACGTCTTGGGTGGCAGTGTAGAGGAGGGCTTCGAGGGGGCCGAAGGTGGATGTTATGTGAGTGCTTAGTGGGCGAGGCAGGATGGATGTGCCGTTTTCATCGCTTGCATCTGAGGTCTGATTGAAGAAAGCGAGGACGGTGGTCTGGTTCGCAGCTAGCGTCACCGGGACGACCATGTGGTTCTCCTCGATGGTGTACTGTAGAAGCGGCGATACCGACCCAGTCCAGGCGTCCAGAGTGTAGGGCGTCCTGCCAGCCACATCAAGGAAGCTGATGTTAGCAGTCGTGGTGTTTCCGCCGTCATTGTAAAGGAACGCAATTTGCGCATCTTCTGTGCTCCGCGAGAATGTGTACCACTTCTCGACAGCGTTGTCTTGCGGAAACGAAACCCGAGGCCGGATATCGAGGGCAGCAAGAGCAGCAGGTAATTCCTCCACGGACGCAAGGACAGTAACACCCTCCATGGCAAGAGCCTGTGCCATAATCTCTGGAACAGAAGCGGCTCCATCGACACCAACACTCTGGAAGTTCGTGCTTCCAATAACAAAGATCGGCAGCCCTGCTTCCGCGAATGCCTTTGTTTGCGCCGCCATCTCCGGCGTCAACTTTGTCTGGTCGGCAAAGATAAGGGCTTTATACGCTGGCCCATCCGGCGCGAGGACACCCCCCTCGCCGACAATGGCGTTTGAGGAAGAGAAGCTCCCAGGCCCAAGGTAGTCGTATGTGAAGCCCATCTTCTCGAGGTTATCACTTCCATAGACGTCCTTGGCGAATGGTGCCGCATACTGATAGAACGCAAGATCGACCCTTGCGGTACCGGCTTGACTGATAAACTGGTTCCTTGCAACATACGCCATCGCATCCGCCATGAACCCTGTGCTGTTCTCTCCGTCGTGTCGACTCCTCCAAGCCGGCATCCTCGGCCCCCACATGTCCGTAAACGTGTACGCGAAGACGGTGTACCCAGGCCACGTCGTCTGTGCGTAGACGCCCGAGTACGCGTACCCATGGAAGACATTCATGCTCACCCCTCCAGCGAGACCGCGGCGGACGGTGCAGAGGAGGTCTTGGATGGTTTGGGTGTAGGATGCGCCGTTGACAGCGCCGGCTTCGGAGGAGATGACGGAGTTGCGGGCCATGTGGGCTGGGCCGGAGAGGTGGCGGTAAAGGGAGGGCGAGTCGTTGAAGCCAAGCGATTCGCCTTCGGGTGCATTGACGAGGGGAATTGAGTCGAGCTGGTGGTGGGATGTGAGTTAGCTGAGTTTGGCAGTAATAAGTGTGTAGTTCCGGGTGGAAGTAGACGTACCATGTTCAGGGGCAGGTTGTAAGCTGGCTGATTGGAGTACTCCAGCCCCCGTTCGTGGGCCCATTCCGACGTTGCGCGAATGTATTCCTCGTATCCGCGTTGGAGTGTGAGGCGATAGTCGTCGTTGCAGCGCGAGACTAGAGTGTTGTTGTCCTGCGAGAGGAATGATTCGCCGTAGGGCAAGTTCTGCGCTGCCCAGTAGTTTTCGCGCTGTATGAGGAAGGGGAGGCAGGTTGCGATGTCGTGTCCCCTTTGTATGCGGAAGCTGTCGGCGAAGTCGTGCGTCCACCAGAGGGCTGTGTCCATTTCCATACTATCTTCCCAGGCTTGAAAGTTCAGGTGTTAGCAACAGCTTCTGGGCTTTGTGGGGTTGCAGTCCGCATACCATACTTCCCCACGCGAGCGAGGAGCTTTTTATCCTCCTCTTCAGGGATGATAAACTCGTCAAAGAAGCCCGTCAACTTCTTCGCCCCCGCGGCGCTGAAGTGGTCGGTGATCCAGGACCCGTTCTGCAACCACGACACGGCGTCAGGCGCAGCGTCGATGGAGCGCTGGTTGGTGTAGCGTGTGTACCATGCCATTAAACGCCATGTGTTCTGGGAGTCTGTGGGCGGTGTCCATGAGATTGATCTCGTGGATTTGTCGACTGAGGCGGTGATGTCTATGACGCGGCTAAGGTTGACGGCGGTGGATGAAGCGTCGGATGCGGTGGTTTGTTCGACGGCTAGAACGAAGGACAAATTCTGCTGGCCAAATTCCTCGCAGGGGTGCATGAAGAGGTGGAGAGAAGGGCTCGCGGGCTGGGTTGAGAGTGGGAGGGTGCCGTTGAATGCGTGTCCTGGCATGACTGTGACGTTGACGTATGCCTACCAAAGCAGCGTAAGCCTTGCCGACTGCCCATATGCCATGAAGTCACAAAAGATGGCCCAGAATACAAATTGTGAAAAGTGTGTGAAGAAACACCAAAAGCAACACTCACCAACTCCAGCGCTAGCCCAACGCTCTCCGGCTCCGAGGGCACGCCCTGCCCCTGGTTCGCGCCAATTGAAAAGTCGAAGAGGAGGTCATTATCTGCAGCCGCTTGCATCGCCGTGCGGAAGACGGCGCGAGACGCGTTGATGCCGTAGCCGTAGGTGGACCAGTTTGCTGAGGGCGATTGGAACTGGTAGTAGGGTAGGAATTCAAGGCCGCCGGCGCCGACGGAGGCTATTTCGGCCACGTCGCGTTTGACTGCTTCGATGTCGACTTCGGCATCAGGGAGCCTTTAGGATAATGAGCTTTGGATATGCTTAAGGGAGCTGGGTTGGGCAGACAGGTCTTACCAATATCTGAACTTGGGGCGGTAGATATTCGGAGGGGAGGCGAAGTCGTCGAGGCTTTGGGCTTGAGATATCGTTGATAATGACGCGGCGAGCGCGGCGACAGCTCCTAGGCCGCGCATTATGTCTTCTTGTGGGAGTGAAATTCCGTGGGAACATTGACTGTTGTCGACTACCAATTGAGAGGGGGCTTCAGCTCGCTTTTATTAAGCGCGCCGTTAACCAAAAGTGTGGGTTGTGGACCGCATGTTCGCCCTCTTCGGATATACTCCTTCAGCAAGACCATGCTGGCCATCATGAAGATACGAGACTGTGGCGCAATCATCTTAATAGTGTGGATCTACAGTCGAATGTTACCCCATTTTTACTGGCAGAGTTGTAGGACATCATCGTCAGCTGTAGTTGCACTGTGGCTTCTCCCTCCGCAATATATGCCGGCAGTCGTACCCGTCGATATAGGCCGAGATCATCCCTGCGGCGGCCGGCGATGGAATGGCGATGTGGGGCATACGAATGCGAATACGCGGGTTGGTGGTCCCGTGGGCGTTATCCGAACCCGCGTTTCCTAGATTTCTTCAGCTTTAGTGCAGTTTCCTAGCAGCTGCCAAGGTTCGTCTAAGTATTGTTATATCCTTATGTGGTATTCTTTACTAAGGCCTTACTTCTCTCCAATTTACACCATGTCGTTTTCTTCACACCAGGCATGCAGGTGCCAAGTACACACCCCTCATCTGGTCCTTTGGCAGCCTATTTATCTCGCCTGCTGCCTCGTGTCTCAACTACGCCACCCAGCGTTTCGAGGGCATGAAAGTATACCGTGGGTTTGATGGCAAATTGAGACGCTCGAGACCAGATTACAACGCCAAGAGGTTGGTCTGGTGCAAAGTGCGCAGCTTCGCCATCATTCATTGAGGACTCCACTCAACTCCGCTCGTGAACTTCGACTCGTCGGAGTAGGCACCCTTAGCAGGTTCTCAAGCGAATGCGTCCCAGTACATCACTAAGGCATTGTATATCCGAGTAGCCTTGCAAACCTAGCACAGGCTATGTTTTAATTACTGTTGATACAGTGCAGTCAAGTGGTTGGTGTGCAGCGGAAGAGGCAGTGCTCGACCGTTTGAGCCGCTTGCCCGCAGGTGCATTGCGCCGAGGCATTCGCACCGATCTGGTGCAGGTACCAATTCAACCTTGCCATTCCGGTCCGCAGTTGCGCTAGAACGCTGGCTTCTCTCCATGAGATCCTATTATAGTGCCTGAGGAACGGAGTGACGAAGAAGCTCCTTCCCCAACCTAGGTAGATGGGGGCAAACAACCGGCTCCCCACACCCGCGGCGTCGTCCTCCCACTAGGTCGTTCTGTTGGCTGAGGTGTTTGTCTACAAATCTACTTCTATTTCGATTCATCATCCTGTCGTCCTCCTACACCATCCAGTTTTGACCGTCGGGGAGCCAACACATCTCAATACAGGATTGGACTCAAGAATTTCAGGCACCGCGAGGGTCAACGTGTAGTCTTTAAGTAGAGCGACCGACTTAACATGCAATTTAAGCTAACAAAAAGCTTCAAGCCTAGGTTCGGAGTAAGAGGCCGACAATGACGCGACGCTCGAAGGAGGAGAAACAACGCTCTGATCAGTGGCCAGAAGGAAGCAGATATGATTCAGTGCATCAACCGGTGCGGGCGACAGCTACATGGCTCCCCCCAGGATCCACTTGCCCCGTGCGCGTCGCTGGGTGCCGGAAATATGACAGAAGTGAAGCGGACTAGGGCGGCACGGAGTAGGGCGCGGGGAACTCATCCTGACATTTGGCATGGGCGGAGTACGAGCGAATCAGAACGCGGAAGTTAACATCATGAGTTCAACCCATACCTGTCTTCTTTTCAAAACTCTCAGGCGTTGGTCGACATCCCTGATGAACTAACGATAGGGTTAAGCCTCTGATTCCGAGTCCATCTACCCATGACAATTGATCGAGGCCGGCCCCGAGGAGTGAGTTATGGCCTGGGAAAGACAAACTTTGAACGCGCAAGCAAGCGGGCTACTTGCATCCGATCTTCTAGCCTATATAGATAGATGGCCGCTGGTACAGAACGATTTGTAGACTGCATTAGCAATCGACGACGATAAGTTCCAGAACATGTTGTTGGTCAAGAAATTTTCCGCCCAAACAGCACAGGCTCGTGTGCTGTACCTGTGCTGTCTCAGTTGCGTCATTGTTTTGGTGTTTTTCTTCAGTTACAGCTTGTTCCCGCACCTTCACTTGCGCGCTCTCCACATCGCAGACAGCCAGTCAAAGATCGCTCCCGACTTCCTAGCTCCGTCCGTTCACGAGGGTTTAGGACGACCCCCTGAAGATGACCTGTTTTTTTCCAGACCCGGCGGAGGTTCAAAGTCGAGGCCGAACGGAAAAGGCCAACCGACATACGCCATTATCATGCCCACTTACGTGCGTCTCATGAACCCCCATCATATGGTACGCGCTTGTGCAAAGGGTGCTGATCAGTTGTTAAACAGACAAAACACCTACCCTACGTCGTCGACTTCCTCCAGTCTTACATGTGTCTCTGCACCGACCACCAAGAAGTCGACATCCACCTCATCGTGTCCGATTCTAAGGAGGTGAAGGCTTTCCAAGATGCTATCGATGGGCTGAAACGCTGCGGCGAGAGGTTTAGTATATTCCCTACGCCGAAAGCAAATATTAATGGACCGAAGCCTAAGATTAATATCACAAACTTTTACGATATCGTCCCAGACGCCTTCCGTTCGATAATTAAAGGAAATATTAGCGCCAGCGACACGTCTGCCCTCCTGAATGAGCGTGGGAGATACCAGTATCAGACAATCAAGAAGATGTCGGCGGCGATGGAGCTTGAGTACGACTGGGGTCTGTGGCTTGATTCGGAGGCAGTCGTCGTACAGCCGTTTAGCATGCGGGAAGTGTTTGATAGCTACATCAAGACACCGACGGTTTGGAGATCTAAGAACTCGAGGACTGATTTTATGGTCTCCTTGATCAATGGATCGGCTAATGTTCTTGGCCGGGATATCGAGTCTTTTGGCAAGGCTTTGTGGAACTTGGAGAGGTAAGGCTGTAAAATCGTTCCGCGTTGCCCATCGCTAACCGTGTCTGTCCAGTGTTCAGTGGATGTTGGAGAAAGAAGTAGTTAACGACCTCGTTCAGTCCGTGGAGAAAGCACACAAACAAGACTTTTGGACGGTCTGGGCAACGCGAGGCAGCCCGTTCGAGATCAACCTGTACAACTTACACATCCAAGCAAGGAAGTTAGAGTCCAACGAGCAGCTCTTCACCAAGTACCAAGTAGTGGAAACGGAGCGGGAGATGGACAGATTCGGCATGGGTAAGTCACAATTATCCAAACCATACAAGCACAAATCCTCTCAGAGGAATAATGTGTTTTAACCTAATCAGACGCTGCGAAACCGATCATAGATCAAATAGTACTCACTGGCATATTCGAGACAAGTTACCTACTTCTAAAAGCCACAGAGGCCGTCCCTGGGTTCTCGCGAATGATGCGACATTACGGCCAGCGGCTCTTGCGCTTTGACGATCTCAATGTCGCGCCGCCGGAGGTTATTGACCGGTTTCTGTTGGATACGCCGATAAACATCTTGTGCGTGGGAGGACCGCCGTTACACAACTGGTGGCAAGAGCGAAACAAGACACTTTAGATAGCGATTTACTCTAATGAAAAGCTAACACCCGTTTACTTCGGACTTCTTGTTCTTCGTGGATCTTTGCCAACTCGCGTATTTTCTATTATTGCTACGATTGCAATCGTACAGCCCCGCATTTATGATGTCGTAGATGTGATATTGAGACGGACATGGTCATTCTCCGTATCTAGTAGAAAAGTCTACACTATGCCCAAACCTGTGGCGAAGATCTCGATCCGCGGCCAGCTACGTCAGCGAGTATCTGATGTTGCCAGCCACGCCAGCTCCACTCTTCTTCTGGGGGTCTCCAGCTCTAGCATATTATACCTAGGATCTCGCCCTCGGCGGTAGTGTGGACAGCCAGTCGAGAATGATGCCGTTCTTAAGCATTGGTGGGATGGCTTCTAATTGTCGTGTTCTTCGTTGTTGTTGCTGTTTGTGGTAGTTGGTATTGTTGTCGTTGTTGTTGCTTGTCGTGGAGAGTGGAGTGATTGTAATGGTTAGCATGGCATGGGCGCAGGATTGGCCTGGTGACTACTAATATCTATTAGACATCTGACTGGCTGACTACGGATATGAGTAACCCCTGAACTTGTTGACCACTAGCTACTGAGTTAAGAGGATACAAAAAACAACGTTGTTTTCGGATAAAACTTGTGACGCCGTAAAAGTCGCCTTGGCTGAATGCATTTTGGCCTAAATACCATGCAAGCTGAAAAAAATAGAATGAATGTCGCCGCTGCCGTCTGGGTTCTCGGCATCTCTGGGGTAGGCTGCTTTCGCCATGATGTGGCCATGCCGGGAAGCGGTCGAACTATCGTCAACTTCAAATGCCACAACAAGATGCGTACGTCTTTATTTTGGTGTTGCGACCATCTGAACTAAGAACCGTCCTCGCAGGTTGAGCTAGGAGTCCTGCTTAAATGACACTTGAGAGTCGGCGGGAGTTGCAAAGACTCGCAACACAACAGACCTAAGTCCAGTCAGTGGATACACGGAATGTAATTTTTAACTAGACCACTATAGCCTTTTATTTCATGTACTCGACTTCGTTTTGCTTTTGCTTTAAATTCTATGAGACAGGCAGCTGTTTTTCGTATTAGAAATCTTCCTAGTAAAGCTTGAAGGTATCAACAGGCACTAACCAACACAGCAGTTCCCGCCGGGCTGGCGAGGCCCGCTTTAGAAACTTTCCGTTATTTTTGGACACCCAAGTCCCCCGATGCCGGTAATCCGTTGGTGTTAAGGCTGCCCCTGGTGCGGCTAAGCGCGCCTGAGTCGCACTTTTTCAACGTCGACAGCGCCCGTGATTGGGATATTCGACGACCTACCGAGATCGGTTGTTTGTATTACTCTTTCAAGCTCTTCGCGAGATTATGCTGCAGGTTCGATGCAGACACGATCCCATCACAATCCTATCACATTCTGAGGCGCAGTGTT